GGCCTCCGCATGCGAGGGCCACCCAGAGATCACTTTCCTCGCAGGCCCCCCTTCGGACCCCCGGAGCTCTTCCACCCCAGGGTCGCAGGAGCACCCCCGATGGGCTGTAAGCATCCGTTTCTTTAACGCCGCGTTGCCCAGTGCCGCACTGACGAAGAGGGCGGGAGCTTGAATGAAACTAAAACCCTCTGATGTAAAAACAAACAAATGCACTCCGTTTATTTTGTGCTTCACAGTACGAGGACCACTTCCTCCTCCTCCTCCGCCGGGAATGTTCCCCCGATTCGCTCCTCCTCCTCCTCCTCCTCCACACCACCTGGGGTACCCCCCTCCCAGACCGCCTTCTGACGGCTCGCCCAGGCCCTGTCCCGCAGGCGGCGAGCAGGCGGGGGACCAGCTGCCCCCCGCGCAGGACATGATCTGAGCCCGGACGTCCCTCCCGCGGGACCCCTCCGTGGGAACAAGTGGCATGTTGCTGATCCGACCGCATGTTGATCCTACCCCTCTGGCACACGAGGTTTTCGAAGTGAAAGGAGGAGGTGGTCAAGAGTTTTTCTGAGCTACAATGAGCCACAGTGTGCGTTAAGAGCTGTGGGACCTGTGTCACGATAGAGAAATGTTTACTTCTGGATGTGTGTAGTCTTTCGGTCCTCAACATTTCTTGTGTCTAGGGCTGCTTGATTGGTTCTTGAGGTGAATAAATAATAACAGATAAGCAGTGCTCAGTATTATTCCTCTAAATTAGCCAACTGTTGCAGCACTGGACTTATATTTCAAATTTGTTTTTGTTTTGATTTGCGTCAATGCCATGGTGTTTTATAGACGGAAATGGTCTGTGAAATGTGTAAGTTTTTGAAACACTGAATCTGCAATGTGCAATGTTTGAGTATCATACTAGAGGTTTAAATGAATACATTATTTTAAAAAAATAATCTAGTTCCACTATTTAATAAAGAACAGGAGCAGTATGTGACTGCTTCTACGCAGAGCCTTTTGAAATCCCTATGTAGCTGCCACACATAATTTAATTAATTGCTTTTAAATGATTACAACTAAGTTGCTCAAATCCTTGTTTTAAAATGTATATAGAGAATTTGTATTAATATTGTGAATAGGGAGGCATTGTACAGAAGTGTCTTTGCCACATACTGTTTTTAATTAACTCATTGTACAGGATGATATGTTCATGTTTCATGTAGTCACCCTATGCCTGGCACTGTTGCATGGCGATTAGGACTACTGCCTCACATCCTGTAGGTCTTTCCTTCGACTCTGAGGGAGGGAGCCTGTCTGTGTGGAGTTTGCATGGTCCCACAGTATTCCTGTGGGTTTTCACTTGGCCGTCTGGTTCCTTCCCACCTCCCAAAGACAAGCCCAGTGGGGTTGACTGGATTCCCTACATTTTCCCTTTCCTGGGCAGATGCTTGATCCCAGTACTTCCAGCTTTGGGACGAACCGGGTGACCCTGATGGGCCGAAGAGCCCCCTGTGTCTGCTGTGGCCATTCTGTTGTTCATTGAGAGAGTCTTAAAGCCGTCCATACTGTTCCTGCCAGCTGGAGTCTGTCGAAATGGGGGGACTTATCAATTGATTAAATGGAAAAGGCATAACTAAAGTTAAATTGATCGTGTGGATCGTGGTGTGTAAAAATAAAGATACTGCTTTTTAAAATCTACAAGTGAAATAGCGTATGTAAGTCTCTTACCAAGAATTAGCGTGCCGAGACTGGTCTTTTTAACACCATGTTCAAAGAGATGAATAAAGCCCACTTAGGCCGAAGAAAGGAAACGCGGTTCACCTCTTGCTGCAGAGCGTCGAGTCGGCAGCCCCTGCACAGTGGTGAGGCATGACCCGGCCTGCAGGGGGCGACATGCTTGCACGACCTACAGCCCTGCTCCAGCGTCTCTCTGAGCCAAGTGATGTCTGCAGTCCAGATTAATGGGACTCTTTCTTCCCGGTTGGAGATGCCTAGATTGTAAAGAAGGGCCCTCCGGTCTCAGGACAGCACCATCTCGAGTGCAGTATCACCACTTGCACCACTACTTAACACACACTTAGAGTGCATCATAAACATGGAAGTATTCCGTGGGGAAGCCAGTGGTTGCCAGCTTTTTTTTCCCACTAAAAAGTTTTTGGAGTATTCATTGTTGTACAATTCACAGGGAGCTGGACTTAAGTCCTTACAGGTCTTTTGTACACCTATATTGAATATTCAGTTATTTGGTCATCAAATGATTGTTGCACACAAGGTGTACATGAATCATATTAGATATATAAAACTATATATACTATCAGTTTCATACATTTTTCAAGGATTGTGTATTAATTTGGCTACAACTACTGACTGCAAACTGGAAAAAAATGTGAAGTTTTTTTTTTCCCCACCCATTCACACAAAGGAAAACTGCACCGTTCAAAAAAAACATTAAGATGCTGAAACCAGTTTTCTTATAAACATGGTCTGAGCAGGTAGCATTTCATGATGGGCAGATTTAGTAAGCAAAGTGACATTTGTCATCAACCAGGGCTCTGCTGAAAGCCACAGGCTTGTACACAAGACAGTGTGGCCACTTTCCAAAGCAACACAACTTGTACATAGACAACATGTGCTTTTCTCTAGGTTGCAAATGCAAATGTGGGATTTGGTCCCATTCTTCTCGTACAGCGTGGACAAGCATGGGCCTGGTCAGTGCGGTCTGAGCCCTGGACATGCCGTCAGGATGAGGCAGCAGGTGGGGTCCCAAGTGATCAGTATTGCATCAGACTCTCGGGTTGCCTAGTCAAGGCAAGCAGGGTTAGACATGAGCAGCTGTGAACAGCCCAGAGGGCAGCTTAGGCCAGCATCCAACCTGCTGAGGGTACAAGTGTACCCCCTTTTTCCTCAGTCAGCAGGCTGTAGTGGATCCTTACTGTATTCTTTTCGATTTTCCCCAGGCCCGAATGTCAACAATTTAAACCAGCTGTTTGCTTGCACCCAGTAAGCGGTCTCCCTAATGAAGCTATATCGCGCATATGCAAACATCAGTCTTGAGTGTATAACATCCTTCATAGATCAGATCAAACTGATTCCAAAATCCAAATACTTTTATTTAAAAATAAAACACAAAGAAATGTGTGAAAAATTCACAACTGTTGCATTCTTGGATGCATCACCTTATCCCCCATGATGACAATGCTCAATTATTTCTCATCTTGAGTATATTCAAGCTCTTGATCAGTTTTAGATTGGATTTAAGAACCAGAGCACTACTAGTGACCAAAGCAGCAAATGGGCCAAAACTGTTCTTGATTGGTTTATTCACAAAAACCAAAAGTAGCATCGATAAGAAAGCCATCACTCCTTCCCACCCCTAGTCGTACTAAATAGTTATAAACCTGTCCTTTAAACCTCGTTCCTACAGTATGAAGAGTATCACACCAACAGCAAAGATGATTCTCAACAATACAAACCACTAAAGAAACACACAGCAAAAGAGCTGTCACTCATTGTCAAATAATTCAGAAACAAAGTCAAGGAATTTTTCAATGCTTTTATTCACTGATTAAAAGAAAATGCATTCAACATAAACCAATCAACAATAATTCGATCAACTTTCAGCTGGTTTACCCACGTCTGTCAGTTTTTTTCCTTCCTTTATAACATCTGATCACTTTCAATAGATAAAATCTCACCACATCTGGCATGTTCACAACTGTGCCAGTGGACTCGCGTAATGCTGATGTACATATAAAATCCGAACGCTATGTGCTCGCTGGAGACAAAAATACAGACAGTGCACACCTGTCGAAATATTAAACATTAAGATGGTAAAACCATTTTTTTTGTAAAACAACACGCTTATAAACTTTTTTCATGTTCATAAATAGAATCCGGACATTTGTTGCATATATATATTGATATATATATACTGTATTTTTTCGAAGTTTATAAGGTAGCAGCCAGGTCTTAGCACTGCTAGTACCCCACGGTGGCCACTTTACGACTTCATTATTGCAAACTGTCCTGATTTAAACAATAAATGCACAACATTCGTACCACTTAAAACTGGGGTCAGCTGGCAAGTCTCACAGAGACTACGTCTGTACCCACGGTTGCCCCTGAAACTGAATTGGCTTCCGAAGCATCAAGATTTTAAAATAATAAGGCCAAGTATCGTTGCAAGTAAGTTCTTTCCATTGTAAGATTACTGAAAAAAAAAAAAAGAGCCACAGAGTATATGCATTTCTCTTGCATAGTTTGACTTTTTTCTGTTATGCAAGCCAACCATGAAAAGATGGGGCTGGTTTAGCTTGATTTTGACCTTTACCACAGTGGACCTATTACAGCAGATGATTGTGGATTTGTAAGTCATTTTTCAAAAAAAAAAAAAGAATCAAAAATAGGAAGCATCTATGGTCAGTATCCCACCCACCCCCTCTGTGAAAGGTCGCGCAATGTTCAATTACCAAGCTTCAAATCCATTACCTTAAGGCTGGCATAAATTTAGGTTTTGAAATAAGGAAAAGAAAAACAAAAAGGATGTAAAATTATACAGGCAGCAGTACATCAAGCCTTCCATCATCTGTATTCAAGCAATGGAGTGTACTAACAGCTTCCCTATTCCAATAAGAGAAATTCAAACTGAGAATGCATATGAAAATTTCCCCAAAGCAAATATTTAAAAAGGAAAAGCAGGGATCCTAGTTGTAAAAAAACAACTGGTTGTTCTTTATGATAAGATAGTTTCCCTCCCCAATTAATTGCAGAGATTGATAAGCAACAGGGGAAAGAAAACATCCAAGTTCTTCAGATTACACTTTTTTTTAACACCACAAACACCACAACTGTTGTATTAGACCAGTTATCTGGTAACGATTGGATCCCCACCCCCTTGCCAAAAAAAAATTTAAAAAGTAAAAAAATAAATAATTTCATGCAGACATTTGGCCTTTCATCTCCCCAGTGGAATGTTCTGTAACGTTTCATAGCAGCTTACAGGTTTGATAGAACCAACCTCGATTTTTTTAAATTACATTCACTCTTCACAGTGAAGCAGGTGCATTGTTCAAAGAGTTCTAAAGTTGCTGACCAAGCCACAGCACAGCTGTGCATCACACAGGTCGAACTTTGACTTCTTAGTACGTAAACCCAGTAGTGGAACACCTTGGCTGACCAGCCATTGGCCTGCCTCTGCCAGTGTGTGGGCACTTCTCTAGGGTTGCATTTCCATGATCTTTGGCAGCTGACGCGGGCGCTGACAGAAGTAAAATCCAGTGACTTGTTGAGAAAAGCTTTTCACGACTAGCTTTCATTTCAAGGCCTGAGCAGGTGAGCTCCTCTCCCACCGCTTAGTCTGACGGTAACCCTGAGAAAGGCCGTTTCCTATTGTTCACCGATTAAAAGGAAAAGCGATACTTTCGGATATTCTGCCAACGTGCTCTCTCCTGTCTAATACATGCATTTTTTTTTTAAATCTAAACACTTTGATACTAAAGTGAACATTCTAAAAATAATTCCTGACTAGACAGCCATCAAAACTGAAAAGCAACTTAGTTTGAAATGAAAGCTACCTGGAAACAGGCACAACAAAAATTAGTTGCTTACTGTAACAATGAAGTGAATTTTGATTAAATAGAAATTCACCATCAAGCCTCTATAAATATATATTGTAGACTGAATTCCAATCAAACCCCTGCATTTTCCTTTTAGTTGTGGTACTCCAAAAGAAACAGGCCATTTAAACCATAGGCAGACAGGTCAGCACACTCTGAACACAGGCAAATATATCCTCCTCTTGTGACCTCTCGTGAATAAACTCTATGCTTGAAGAGCTTTCAGAGAGGACACTCCCATGCAGTCTGAATTTGCACAGCCATGCAGGTTGGGAAGCTCTTTCCCAGTTCCAGATTTTTAAGGATTCTCTGAAACGTGGCTCCACCTTGTACACCTTCTCCAAGGCAAAGCGAGTCTGGAACTCCACTTGTCCAAGTTTTTCCTTCCCAAATATCAATACTCATCCTGTGTGATTTGATTTTGACTAACACTCATTTTTGAGCACAGTAAAAATATTTTTTTATCACAAGTAAAACAGATTCCGAATATATCCGATTCCGACACCCACTGAATTGAGCAAGGTTTCAAAAGAACCTGGAATTCCACACCTCTGCAAGATGACCACAGTGGGGGGGGAATCATACAGAAGATGTAAAACGTCTACCACCGTTTCAGAGTCAAAGGGAAATCAAGTTATTAGGCACAGACCAACCCTTATCCTTAAATGATCTTCACCAACTCCTGCTGCTATCTATGCAAACACTAGATGATTCTTTTACAAGCTTTAAAACAAAAAATGCACTGGCAAGAACAGAATTAAAAAGTCTTAGAGACATGCCAAAAATGCTAAACCTTTTAAAACTATGAAGGGAGAAAGATGTCCATGGAAAGGTTGAGTTGTACTTTGACAGATCATTTCTAAACGCACATGGTTTTCAGCCTTCAAGCAAACTTGCCTTAAATCAAAAAAGTACCACAAGATCAAGATTCCTGAGATATGGAACAAGCCAGCAAATTCTGTCCCAGACTCAATAGATGAAAAACCTTAGTTTTAAAACTTGATATAGAAATAACATCCAAGGCAACTCTGACTCAAGACTAATAATAGACAGACAGACTGATTGCTTCATGTATCTAACGTGCTGCCTACCTGAGACAGACCAAAAGGATTTTAAAATGGACTGCTATGCTAACGAGCGTTTCTCTACAGTATAAGGGATCAGGAAAGTCACCTAAACACTCAGTTGATCTAAGATTGCTTCCGCCACCCTCCAGTTACAGGGAAGACAGAGGTATTAATCCAAGTGCTTTCATTTTGTCTAGGTTGGAATACCAGCAGTATCATCTTCCCAAATATAGCAACATCTCAAAAAATGAGCAGAGGGCTAAAGGTCTCTGTACGTTTATCAGTACTCCATCCTTGGCCGGAAGACTCAAGCCAGGAGAGGTAAATCAGTATAACGGACTTATCTCAACAGCAGGGACGGATTTACCCACGACAGACTCGCTAATCTCAAAACAACTCAAGAATCCCCTATAAAAATATAAACATCACACTTCTAAGCATCTTGTAAGCTAGCCGTGAAAAAGCCCTTCCCCCCACATTCACTCATTAGCTACTAAACCAATACCCAACTATACTCTCGTACAGAAGCAAGATATATAGATATAAATATAGAGCTAATACTGATTAAACATAGCACGTATAAAGGGTTAGCTCACACTACGGAAAGGAAAAAAAAGCGTGATAAAATAAAGAGACAGGGCCCATTATTTTAAGGGAACCACAAACAGGACTAAGCGGGCAGGCTAGACGCCCTCGCTGAAGCGCTGCATCTCTCTGTAGAAATGCTGCGTGGGCTCGCTGAGGACAACGCTGGTGTCCATCATGGGGTGCCAGGGCCGACCCAGCCCCAGAGACACCTCCTTGATCAGGTTGTGCACGGGATCCTCCTCCACGAAGACCAGCTGGTCCTGGTCGAAGTCGATGCTCTCCTCGGACACCGCCAGCACCTTCAGATTGGAGCCGCGCAGGCGGGAGATGGCGATCAGGTTGTGCGCCCACACAGTGTAACCTAGGAACAGCAGACGGGTGAGAGCCGCGCACGCAAGGCAGGGTTGGTTTCGCTTGGGTTTTTCTGGACTCATTCCGTTTCAAGGGTAAAAACATTCCAGAAGCAGCGGAATCTGACGAGGGGGGGGGAGGTTGGGAGAATGGTAAAACTCCTAAACTCTTAGCAGATCATGGGACACGCCCAAGGATAAGTCAAGCTCCAGAAATAATCCTGGGAACTGCTAGGCTTCCTTGCTTGGTCACAGGCCTGGCGTGCCCCTGAGGGAATTCCTCCAAGACGCACGCGGGTTTCAAGCCAGCCCTCCAAGGCAACACACCCCTGAGCTGCACAGCAGCCAGGACTGAGCCGTGAAAGATCTACCAGAAGGAGAGAAGCAACGCTCACACACTCACTCACTCACCGTGAATCACCAGCAGAGACAGGCGTGTGCAGCGCCAGGCCAGCAGCACCAGCGGGTCCTCGTTGCGGTTGTCGCTCAGGTCGGGGAAGCCGGCGTCCTCCCTCTCCACGGGGTCCCTCATGAGGATGAAGTGGGTGAGCGTCTTGGGGTACTGCAGGGAGATGAGCTCCACCGTGCCCTCGGAGGCGCAGCAGGAGTAGCTGTCGAAGTGGATCCTCTCCAGCGGCAGGCTGGGCTTCAGGACCCTCAGCAGGTCCTGGCTCGGCACGTCCAGCGCCATGACGTAGACCCGCAGGTTGGCGCTGCTGCGCACCAGGGCCTTCCAGTCGCCCTCACTGGGGGTGGCGTCCAGGGGCTTGTCGGGCACGGCGGCGCCGCTGAGCAGGAGGGAGAGGCGGTGCAGGGGCGCGTGGTCGCGGCCGGAGAGCAGCCGGCACATCTCGGAGGTGAAGTCGCAGAAGTCGAGGGCCAGGGAGCGCAGGCTGTGCAGGCGCTCCAGCTCGCCGAAGGGCACCAGGGAGGGCAGCTGGCTGTCCAGCAGGCTCAGGTGCTGCAGGGAGCTGGCGCTGAGATTGGACATCATGGACAGGGAGCTGGGGGTCACCATGCCCAGCATGAACGCAGACGACAGCCACTTCACCTGCCGGCTGTTGGCCAGGATCTCCTCAAACAGGAGCTGTATCCTAAAGGAGCAGACGACTTATCAATCTCTGACTCTGATCAGAGGACTTTCAGGCAACAGCGTAACACTAGAAGATAGATTTTCCTGCATCATTTAGGAGTTGACCTGCTTCCATGAATAACCTAGGTGTGTTGCTCCAGAACAGTTTTCACATTAATAAACTAAGTGGAATTTCAAATCCACATAAGAAATTGGATTGGACTTCTCATAACTGATCTTCAGTCCAATGTGTGAAAGATACACAACCAATTTAAAAAAGACTTACAAGCTGCTTAGAAATGACTGGAATTAAGGAAAGTTTCCAACGTTTAAAGATCGCCACCAGAAAACAGCACTCTGTTTCCCTGTCACTCACTCTTTGATCTTCTTGCCCGCCTGATCCACCTGACCGAGATGACCACGGTCCAAAATTCCTTCTTCCTGAAGGATACAAGTGTCTCCATAGAGGCTCAGCTTCTGCAGGTTTCTTAAAAAAAAAAAGGAGAATCAGAGTGAAAATAAAAAAGTAGGAATCCAGTAGAGTGAACTTGGAAATGCAGAACAAAAAGGACTCTATTAGAACTCTTAAACATTAAGAGAAGCGAAACCCCAACAAAACGATGTCAAACTACATTTCTTCGCACTTGCGTTCAACAAAAACAAGGAGACACACAGAATGGTCTGCAGGAGCTGAGGCTACTGGAGCACAATGGCACTGACGAAATCAACACAACGGGCTTGTTCAGCAGCAACAGAAAAACAGAAACCACAGGCCTCAAGCAAAACTATGGGAAAGAACTGAAACAACGGCACTTCTATCTGCACAGGACTGAGGGGGTCTGGAAAAAACTGTAAAACAAGCTGTATCCCACCATGCTGTCAAAGCTGCCAGTGCAGCCGTATCCACAAAACCACCCCAGCAGACTCACAGACCGGTTCGCTATCAATGAAATGAGTAAAGTGGGCAGAATAACCCCCTGACCCACTCTTCTGGTTTCTAGGCTTAGTGATGTTCACAGGAAAAAGCCTAGGCTTCCAAAACAGCCCGGTAAGTAAGAAAACAAGCAGCCTATAGGCTTGGAAAAGCCCATATGAACTAAATCACCGGCTTCGCCAGAAAGACAGCAGGGGAATTAAGTTCTAAATTATCAGCTGCAAATGTCAAAGCAGCAAGAAAAATCAAATCTGAATGAGAATCATCTGAAATTACACAACATGCGATAATAAGATTGCTGATCCAGAAATTGCCATCATCAATAGTTTATCAGGCTACCCGAGACAGACCCATTCCAGAACACAGCGTGACTGATTTTTCTGCCCACATAGCTACATATTTAAAACTTCCAACCCTCTTAGTGGTCAATAACGAAAATCTCACTCAGACATTTCATATGTTTTGTTCCTGTTCTAAATAATTCATCAATGAACATCCCCCAGCATCTCTAATTTGCAAATTCTTTGCCTATGCTGGCTAGTCTCTTTTCACAGGAGAAGACTACACTCCAGAAGATGACTTGAAACAGAACAGGACCCCAACTTCGAAACTATGAAAAACAAACCAAAGAAGCTTCTGTAACAAAATGAGAATACCTGCTTTAATAAATGGATAAATAAAAATACAAATAATAATATAATTTTATTAATAATAAATGTATTTATTATTAATTTATTGTATTAATTGAATGGTGCTATTCATACCAAATTATCCCAAGGTGCCTCACATAAAGGAGAGCAACCATTTCACCCTCTATGGAAGTCCAGAATTCAACATGCATCAGATCAGAAAAGTGAGAAATTGCTTCACCAGCTGAATTAAGAGGAATATTTTGGAAGGCCGTGCTGGAATTCCAGAATGGAAACTACTGTTCCCTTTCACAACATGGTTCTTAAACCTAAGAACAATCAAAAGGAGCTACATGGACAGAAAAGGTGATTTAGACTGTAGCAAAGCTCCAGCAACCCTCAGATTCCATCGTACCTGCAAACAAACACCACTCACTGCCTCCTGAAGCAGGAGGGACCACCACAGCCATCTAAACACTGGGCCTCCCTCTTGTCTGCAACGTTATTTACACATTATAAAACCGCATTAGGGAGCCTCTCAGGAAGTCAGATTGTTCCGACCTACGGAAGTCACCTTGAGGAGATCAATTCCAATGCGTTAATCTCTGTCCAAGGCAGAATTAAAAATGGTACAAGCCAGCATTTCAGAAAACACTAAAAACAGCAGGTCATGAAAATGGTGAATATCAGATACAGGCCAAGCGGATTAATCAATAAGTAAATTTAATTATCACAATCCCCAACTTGTAACCAAATTTTGCCAAGAAAATACCTGAACAGCTGGTATAATGGGAAGCATCCGGGTTCTCCGTTTTCCAGCACAGCTTTGGTGAAAAGAGTAATTCAGGCACACTGGGCTCAACACCTTTGTTGACGATGACAATATGCACACTAAATACGCAACAAAAACATACAGTGTTTACAAACAAGGCATCCCACATGCCTGCGGTCCTGACCAACCAGAAAAACCCCACACAGCTACCAAGTATTTAACTCCTCTATAAAAGGACCTTTGATGACATTCAATGATTTAATTAAAGGTAAACCAAGATAAACCTCACAATTGCTTTGATAGGTGAATCTCAGACTCCTACACGTCAGCAGGCACCTCCTTGCTTAGAAGCTCCTTAGGTGCTGACCAACCACTCTCCCTCAGGTTACGACACCCTGATAGCCACTTCCACCCCAAAAATGTTTAACAGAGTGGCTGTCTCTCAAGTTGAATTAAATACAAATAAATCCCTTTTCTTGCCAGGCAAATCCAAGTACCTGCTACAGAATCAAATACGAAACTACTCCAGAAAACAAAAACAAACCCAACACAGCTACCGCCGGGAATTTTGGACTCACAAAATCCCGGGAAATCCCACCAATTCAACACCGATGTGAAACATTTCCTGCTGGCACGCCACATCGCTGTTCCTGCCCCACGCCATGAAAGCACACACAGTTACAGGCCGCATGGGAAACCATAAAAGTCGAGGACCCGCCCCATCTCCTCCTAGACCACAGGCGCGGCGTCAGGACCCCCCGGCCGGGACCCTCTGGGTCAAGCCGGTCGACCCGGCCACAGGCTTCCCTCAACGTCACGCCGCCCAACACACAAGGAGACCAGGATCCGTTTCCATCAGACAAGCACCTGGGAGCAGGCCCATAACCATCCCAGCGCAGTCTGTACCACCTCCTGACCTGACCGGCCTTCACGTGCAGAGATAAGCATGAGGCATTACCCTGACCAAGACACCAGCGACATTATTCAAGTCCCTCGGCACTGCGACCACACTCACACCGAAGCAAACTCTAGATCTCGTGTAACGGCCTTTAAACTGTCGCTGGTACCAGTCCAGAGAGATCCTCTTAAATCGTCAGGAGCGCATGAAGGATGATGGGTCGCATACAGACCCCTGCTGAATTCAGCAGAACCAGCAAATGGCCGGCTGGAATTCGCCACCAAACTGATTATGAGACACACGATGCTTTGTGTACAGCCATGTGCAGTCTGTCGTCGTATGTCATTCAACCAACAATCACACCTCCTCACGCTGAAGGAAAACACACACACACACAGAAAAACAGTTCCGGTGGTAAAGGCGAGGCGAACTCAGCTTCGCCGTGAGGAGAGGGGTGGCAAACGTGACTACCGGTTTCCTGCAAACCGGAACCGGTCCCGCTGTGCACCGCCGCAGGGCACCGGGACGTGCCGCTTCCCCGTCACGCCAGGGCACCGCAGGCTCGGTCTCTGCGACAGGAGGCCCCCGCAGCGGGGGGGAGGGGGAAACATCCAAAATTCAAATTCACAATATAAGCGGATCAGGGCAGGGGTCAGCGGGGCTCGATCCCGAAATGAAATTGCCCGGGGACACGCTCCTGGGGATGAGTGCGCAGCTGGACCGGGTCAGCCTTTTGCGGAGGTGCTCCCGGGTCACCGGTCGAATTCAGATGTCAGATCGAGAGCCGACTGCAACATGTAATGGCTGCCAATGTCACCCGCTGTTACTGGTGGTGGGGAACCAAAAAAACACATATATATATATAATCAAACGCTTCGCGTGCACCCTTCCCGTCTATGAACCGCTACAGGCAAAGCATCCGCTACGTAGCTGGTAAAACAACAACAACAACAAAAGTTGAGAAAGAAACATCGCCCGAGAGCATTTATTCCGAGAGAGGATGACGAAAAGCGACACCAAGGGTTGTTTCGGTACTTTGAAACACCGGGCGCGATTACGTAAGACGGGGAGTAGGCGCCACCGCAGGCCCGCCCTCCCCTCCCTCCGCTACCTGTTGTTCCGCAGGCCCCTCAGCACGAACAGCACCTGGTCCAGGTAGGTGTGCAGCGCATCCCTCCAGCGGCCCGCGAACTGCGCGTCCTCCTCGGCCGCCCGCCCCGGGCCCAGGTAGCCCTCCACGGGGGCGAACTCCAGCTGCAGCTCCCGGACGAACGAGCCGAACTTGCGCATCAGGAACTCCAGCTTGGGGGTCTCCTCGGGGCCGGGCCCGCCGCCGAGGCTGAGCCTCAGCTCCGTCCAGAGCGCCGGGTAGAAGAGGCACTCCCGCCAGCGGGCGCACACCGCCGAGGCCCGCAGCTTGTCCCGGGCCGACAGGAAGGAGAAGATGTGCACGATGAGCTCGCTGGGCAAGGCCGAGGCTCCGACACCCCCGCACAGAGCCATGGCCGTCGTGTCAGGCGGTTCTCGGCACCCCCAGAAGCGCGAAGCAAAGAGCTGAGAGGTGCTCACACTGGGACGCCAGCCAAAACCGAAGCAGCACCCCCCCAACAGCTGCTCAGCGCAGCCTCTCAGCGAAAACAAACAGCGCCCCGCCGCAGCCTTCCCTTCACTACTATCGGGCCGCACCACTGCCCTCCCGGACGGGGGGGTCCAGGCACAAGTGAAAATGTGGATTGTGATAGAACTAGCCAAGTGAGCACTCTGTTTAAACGCGTGGCCTTACAAAAACGCAATACGTCTAGTTTCGAGATTGCTTTGTTTAGCGTTTGGCAGCACGTCCCTATTGTGCTGGTGCTGTGGCAGGGCGGGTCCCCCAGGCGCATGGTCGAGCCCGCAGCGCTGGTATTTTTGCTGTGCCTCCATATTTCCTGCAGGGGGAGCCCGGCTCTGCGCCGAGCCACGCGTGCGCCCTGGCGCCGCAGGACCCAGAGCTGTGGGCTGGACTGTGACCGTGTCCGAATGTGCCGATTTTCACCGAGTCGGCCGCAGATAATGTCCGATTTCACACCCCGTGACACCTAGGCCTCTAGCGTCTTTGCTTGTTTTGTGCACGTGTAACAGCCATTTAAGACTGACTTCTGGCAAGCCAGTGTACTCTTTTGACCCGCCTTTGGCAAGTGAAGAAACAGGGCACATTTAGGTGCATATTCTGTCAAAACACGTATGTCTTATTTGCTGTTAATAGCCTATCTGTGCTATTCTGATTTGGTTCTTCAGAAAGAAATACAGTTGCTGTAGTCGACTGGCACCCACCTCATAAACAGCTCTGCGCTGTACTTGTATTTCTCGGCGGGCAAGAGCGCGGTTCGCATTAATCATATACAACAGCACAACTTTGTTTTAATGGTGAGATACATTACAGGAGCATCAACAATTTTGATAAGTACACCTGTACGTTTTCTACAGGTGGATGCTGCACACTGGTGGTGGTGGAGGGGAGTCCCCATTACCTGTAAAGCGCTTTATAAGTGTAAGCAATTATTATTACTATTATTATTATTCTACGCTTAGACGCGAAGACAATCCACAACACCGAGTACAGCTTGCAAAATGCAAAAAAAAAACTCTCCACACTGCCCACAGAGACCACAGCGTGCACCTCCGGCGCCTGCGCACTGGGCTCTGCCCCCACCCGCTCCCATGGAGCTCACGCGGCGCGCGGGGCGGAGCCGCTGCGGGGGGTGACGTCACTTCCGGGTGCGCCCTGGAGAGCGGCCGCTCAGCCCAGCCCACATAAACAACAACCCGGGGCAAGACGCGGGGAGATGGCGGAGTTATCGCTCTATCTCACCAACGTGAACGTGTCTCTGGGACAGAACATGGACGTGGAGAAGGTAAGTTGAGCTCGGCGGGTGTACCGATGGGGACGTTGTTGCGGTTTGAGTGCCGGAGATCACCTCACTGTCAACCGGTCCTCTTCATTTGGCCACTTCAGCCTTTCCTGTGTGTTAGTGCTCAGCTGTCGCTGTGGTGGCGGAGGCGGCGGCGGCTTTCTCATTAATTTCTCTGTTTCCTGGTGCCGTGGGTCCAGTATAGACCGCGACAGCTGAGCTCTAATTGTGCATGACAGGGTTTTGCAGCTCTTACGTTGTTGGGAAATGCAAACTTCGCAGAGCGAAGTAATCCGAGCAGAGGTCTGTGTCACTCAGTGGTGACACCTGGCCAGGGCTCAACTCACGACACCAGGAGCCGAGGCGGCTGGCGGGTCTCGGCCACGACCGAGTCGTGTCGGGAGCTGCACCCGGGTGGCTTGTGCTTTGTTGTCATTCATTGTCGCTCAGCGCGGCAGTGGAATGAAATGTTCTGGTCTCTCGCTCTTTGTTTCAAAGGAAGTTTTCCTAAAGTAAAACTAAAGGGGCTGAGGGAAATCGTCGAGGCCGCCGGTCCCCGGAGCTGAGACCGTCTTGCCTTTCGCTTGCTTCTGTGCCCGGCTTGCTCCTGTCAGGTGTCCGGAGCATCGGGTTCACGGGCAGGTTTTGGCTGAAGCGGTTTCAGATTCAGGTTGTTGCCAGAAGCCGCTGGAATGCTGCCTCCTGGTTTGTTTTTGCTGCCGGTAACGGCGAGGGAGAGGGGGTGTGTGAGCCCTTCATCCGCATCCCGTCTTCATCGCAAAGCGAATGGCTCCCCTCTGGGCCCGGGAAAACGGGGCTTGCTTCCTGTTGTTGGCAGAACCCGGGCGTCGGGAAGGACTTCGAAAATGTGGAGCTTGGGGAGCTGGGGAAGAAGACGACGACGGTGCAGCAGCAGCAGCAGAAGGTGCCCCGCCGGATCATCCACTTCGCCAGCGGGGAGACCATGGAGGAGTACAGCACGGACGAGGAGGACGAGGCGGAGCCGGAGGAGAAGGATCTGCTGCCGGCTATGGACCCGGTGCGTGTGTCCTCATCCAGGGTGCGGGGCTCAAGGCTCCGTCAGCCGCCTGATGGAAAATGAACTAGTGTTACATGAGGGCTTAACCTTTTTAGAGGCACTGCAGATACGAAATGGACTGAGACCCTTTGAAATGACAGAGTTCTATGAAGATAGACTCCGATTTCCATTCATTTCCCATGCCAAGTCTGATCACTTATGGGTTTATTGCACTCTTGGGACATTGCAAACCTATAATTTGTAGTCGTTAGAATGAGTACTGGTTATTCTAAAAGACATCGTGATCCTCCCTTTACCTGAGAACGGTTCTGCAGAACTTCCCGTAGCCCCATGCATTGTCTGCAGACAGAAACATTAGTTTCTACCCGATGATTAATTGGTAAGAAATTTAAAAATTGCAGTTGATTTTTGTGATGTCCGGTGTGTGGTTGCAGTGGTGTCCTGCGCTCCTGTGGAATGCTCAGACCTGCGTAAGGGTTCACGGTTCATCATGCTTCATTCAGTCGGGTCGAGTCACGTCAGGTGTGATCCATGCGACTTGCACACCTGACTCTCAGAGGTGGAAAAGTGAAGACTCCAAAGCTGATTTTGCTCCCCAAATCGTAACTCGGATTGCTCCAGCAAGAGGATGGCTCTTGTGGGATAAAGTTTTTCTCTCAATTTTCTTCACAGTCGAAGCTGACCTGGGGACCCTACTTTTGGTTCCATCTGTGGAGAGTTGCCACTTCAACGATATCGGGTAAGTGTTTCCAAAACCTGCACCTGTCTTTGGAAATAAGACACCTTTTGTAGCTGCAGTTTGTTCAGCAGCTCTGCAGTTGAGCTTTTTACACTCCTCTTAAGACAATCATTCAAAGTCCCTACATTGTAATGGCAGTACTCAGTTGTTAAACACTCTGGAATTAACTAAGCTTCCTGTCATAGTTATTTTTCCCCAACTTAAGTGCAGACATCAGTTTCTTTTATGCCTTTTTAAATGTCCAGTAAAGCGTGTTTTCTAACTTGAATGTACCACATGTGGTTTTCAGTGTGTGACTATCTTGGAGAGAAGATGGCTTCACTCTTTGGTATAACCTCACCTAAGTACCAGTATGCCATCGATGAATACTACAGGGTGAAGAAGGAGGTATGTAACAGTTAATGGCCTGAAAGCAGGATGCATGTGGAAAGTTAAGAGTACAAAAAAGCAAATCCGCATAGGAACTTAGCATAAATAGCTGCCTCAAATAGGGTTAGGTTAAGAAATTGAGGGTGATGTACATACAGTATGAAAGAGTCAATGTATTGCCCACAGCAAACTCCCCCCCCCCCACTGAAAACACTTACCGCTGTCCTTGTGAATGACACACCACAGGAGGAGGAGGAAGAGGATGAGAACCGCATGTCCGAGGAGGCAGAGCGGCGCTTTGAGGAGCAGCAGAAGCAGGAGAGCCAGGAGCCGCACACGGAGCAGCCAGAGGGGGGGTCCGCGTCCTTCGTCAACGTCACCTTCGAGCTGGAGAAGGAGCCCCTCTCCGTTCCAGAGAGCACCCGCGTTCCTGCTCCTCTGCCCACTTAACCCGCTATTAAAGACACAACAGATCCCCTCGTAATGACCTTTTTGTACCTTTTCAGCATTGCTTGTTTGCATGGGTTCGCTTGACTAGACTTCTGTTTGTACAGTATATGTGCCACATTTGAAACACCAAACCAATCGTTAGATACTTCCAGCAGGATACCTTAATTGTTTAAAAAAATGTGAGAGATCCCATATGAGTAAATGTTACCCTAAAAGGCTATTTATACTGCACAGAGATACATGCCTTGGTCAAATGTATCTCTGTTAAAAGGTTTTAGAATTCCAGTGGCCTTTACACAGGAAACCTAAGGAGTTTCTATGAGATGGGGGCTAAATGGCAGTCAGATGCTATTCACAAATATACAGTCTTATGTCTGTATGTTATGCGTGTCTGGATACCTTAATGAAATTTTATATAAGAAGTACCCAGTAGTAAACATGTTTTACTAGAAATGTTTTGTGCACTGATAAACCGAGGTTTATCATTTCAAACCTTGTCACTTCAAGGTTAATTAGAGCATACAGTTTCTGTAAGGCTGTGTTTTTAAACATCATTTGGGATCCTAGGGATGCTTATAAAAAAACTTCTGTACTTTCATCACAAAAGTAGAAATGGCAATATTGCAGAACTCATCGTTTGAAAGGTGTATTCTTGCAATGACCAGGTGTCCAAAATCTTCATTGATTTTGTACTGTCAATTACCAAAGCAGTTGAATGGTAGGATGCCTTCATTTAGACCTGACTGGATAGTTTGAACACTCGTGATCTTCACAGCATTCATGCAGGGGCTCTTTGAAAACGGATGAAGGTCATGCATGATCTGATTTGACACCATCTGTACTACAGTGGGAGATCTATATTAGACACCTGGCTATTTAGAATATGTAAGTAATCAGTAATTAACAGCTGCATTACTAATGTTATGACAGCCTTCTATGTGAGGGTAATGTTTCTGACATGCACTGTGATATACCTCGGACATCTCCTGTTGCCTATTAATTCACATGTTACATGTGGTATTGTTTAATATGAACTATAGCTGTCTAAAAGGGAAGCATTAATTGTTTGCAGAAATGGTCTGATATAGTATATCAAGAGTGAAGCGTTTAAACCAGGACTAGCTGTTACTCCTGCAATTGGTGGATTCATCCTTGTTCTTACCATGGATTTCGTATCTAAACTCCATTCATACAGACAAAACATGATACCCAGGCTGCATAACCTTTACAAAACATGGCCTTAATTGTATACTATGATATTTTCATTTAATAAGTACATTGTCTTTATTGGATGATTTAGACTTTTCTCAGTGCTACTTTAGAAGATTTTGCAGCATGTTTAGACTTTGGCAAAACAGGCGCAGCTCCTTTTAAATTGATTTTAAATCCCACAGCTAGCCTTGGCAAGTCCTGGATTAAGCAACTAAATTTCAGAAAGCGAAGGTCTAGTGGAACCTGGTCTACAATTGCATTTAATCTGCTGCACTACAATTAAAACAAGCTCACTTTGTTTATAAAACATTTTATAATTTATTTATGTAAATGTTTAAATTGAAGGCTTTTATATTTAATGGGGAAGAATATGCATTTTATTTTGTATATAATACAGCTTAATAAACTTTTAATAAAGATGAAACTTGGATCAATTTACTTTGTGCACTATGAAGCACTAAACACTTGCAAGGAAATTCAGGAGCCTCGGCAAGAGCCATATATTCACACTAGTAGATTACTTGTCATTTTTAAAGAAAAGATTGAAGATCCTCAAATTCCTAAACTACTAGAGTAACTTGCAACAAGTTGCCCCTTCACATACATAACCTTTCTTATGTCCTTATGGCACTCCATTTAAAATGGAACAATAATTTATTGCACAACGTTACACTGTACATTTCTCTGGAAAGGAGGGATTAGCATTCTTGCTGTGCAGCCAGTCCAGAGGGAGTTTCATGTCTCATCCAGATCAGCACTGCTGTCATTGTCATTGGCAACAAGGACCTCTCTGTTTTCATAGGTCCAGAAACCGTTCAGGTCAATGAGGATGCTGCTGACAGTGTCCCCTTGGCCGCTGTTCACGAGATCCTGAAGGGTGATTTTGTATGGGTCCTTGGGCTTCACCATGTCAAAGATTTCATCCTGCAGAACAAGAAAGGATTTTGTATGAGGTCAGCACACCAGAAGAAATAAAAAGGTAGCTGTCCGATATCCTGCCACTGCCAAATGCTTCTTTACCTTGACATCCTGAAAGGACACTGGCTCCTGCCCATGAAGCTTCATCTGCTCCTGGATGGCCTACGTGGAAGTAACAGCACAGTGCAATTAAAAAATGCTCCTTTTCTGCTCCCATTTGTGTTACAAAATTACAGCATGAAAAAACAGAAAGACCTCAATCTTTATATATATAAATCGTGAACAGTACTATCCACAAAACCAAAAAAATCTATGCTCCACAACGGCCTGTTGAAACATTACTGGATGAAAAGCTATTATTTTACTGGAGATACACTCATTATAACCACTAGAACAATACACTTCATATATACAATATATCTACAGTAATGTACACAAATAGAAGACCCCTGGAACTAGATGGTACGCAAACAGAGAAACAATCAGCATTTAAGGGATATCAGGCCTATGCTGTATAGGCTCACAAGGCAGTGGTTTAACCACTCTGATCAGCACCTGCTCTGAATATAAACCCCACAGTCCCATAAAAGAAACTTCTTTCCTTCAACAAAATGCTCAGCTTTACTGTAACAAATACAAAGGCAGTCTTATTTGAAGGAGAAGGAGAGCGAGGACAGATGGCACAGCGGAGTGAGGGGGGGGGGGGTTGTCTAACCATAATCTAAGAAGGAACCTCCACACTCTTTCAAAGGAGATCTTTTGAAAAGCTAACAGTGTGTGCTTTCTACGGAAGTGAGAACAGTTCAGCAAAAACAGCAGCAACAGCCAATGAGGATTCAGGAAGTAAGATACTTTTCAGAAAACTGAAGTGCAAACTTGTGAATTAAAAGCCAAGGTCATCCCAGATCCCATGGCACTGTTGATAAGAATAGGGGTATTCACCGAGCTGTCCTGGCTGAACGCCACACTGGGTTTGTACAGTCTGGGCTCTGTACATTTCTCCCTTAATTCAACTGATCAGCTTGGGAGCGTGGCTGCTGGGGCAGAATGTGCCATCAGTATTAGGAGTAGTATTATTGTTAATAATGATATTAGCCATGATTTATATATGAGTAAATATGTGATGGGTATGTGGTGACAGACAATTGTTAAGATTTTATAGAGCTCTGGTATAAAGTTCAATGCGTTGGTAAACTTTCAATCAGGTCATGTTAGTGGATATGAATGCTGAGGATTTACTGTTGGCACGTTTTAGTATACCAAAGAAATAAAATGAAAGTGGATAACCTTTAGTGACTACTGATGAAAACATTGATTTTGGATTTCATTGCAATCATCAAGGGAATTTAGAATTGTATTACCGCAATATTTGTGTTTTGATGCATTACGTGCTTCAAAAAGAAATGCACCTAGTGTTACTCACCCTGAAAAAATAGTTGAGTGCAAAAACATTGAGGTAGCCCTTGTTTTCAATATCCAGCAATTTAAAAATGTACTGCAGGGCAGCTGGCTCCTTCCTGTTCTCCAGGGCCAGAACAAAATCAAGGTATGTCTTGTAATCCTACAAGCACAAGGAAGAGGCAAAGAGGTTATTTCCGAACCCCTCACTGCATCCATGTAAAGACAGCCCTTATCAACCGGCCTAATTGCACAGGGTGCATCAGGAGTCTGCACCCATAGGACATACAGTATACACCTCAAACTGTCCAAAACAGGTTGGATGACACAAGGCCTCTGAGGTGGACAGGACACAGTAGCCCAGTGGACTGAGACCCTGCAAGACTCAAAGGGGGTTATGGCCGAAAATCTAAACTGTGTCGCAGCACTAAAAAAGCTTCTGGAATTCATGCTCTCAGATCAGGTCTGTCTTAAGAATTGTTCCAGTAAGCAATGGTTAACCATAGGCAACACATTTCAGTAATAACAAAAAACTGCATGCTATTTAATTGCCTGAATAGGCCCAGACGACTGATATACCCTGTACATTTAAGCACAGTAGCAACAATTCACTCTGTGTCGCGTTGCGTGCTGGGAGTTACCATCTCTCCATCGTAAGTGAGACACTCCTGATAGACTCGATCCAGAAACACGTTCGTGAGGGTTCCCGTTCCATAGCGGGACAGCTCCTCCTTGCTCAACATCCCATTGTGGTCCTTGTCCAGGTTTAAATACTGACCTGCAGCGGGAAAACGCAATGGGCTGATGTAACCTGACCACGGCGGTCATCCCCCCGGTCTCCTGAGAACACGGTTGTCTACAGAACCTTTGGGGGCCCAAGTTCAAATTCCTTCTGCATTAAAAACATTTCACATTTCCTCACGTGAGACGAGATTCCAAGACTGAAGAAGGTAATACTGCAGTACTGATAAAGTGATACTGCACTGGATACCTCGGCCTGCGCCAAAACAACTGCATGTCAATGATTACACATATCGCTATAAACAGAAATCTGTTCCTTTTATTAACCAGATAAAAGTTGATGAACTTTGCGTACCATACACTCGGAGGGCTGATGGAGCAGAAAACCAGTTTGATTCCTGACTCTCCTTGGAAAGCTCCTCATCTCTTAGCTGTAAAAAAGCATTGAATACACTAGATAACGATATACTGTCAGCAAGAAACAAGAAATCTAAATCAAAGGCCTCATTAGTCTGTTTTATATTTAGTATCTTAATCAAGTTTCCATTGCCCTGCTTCCCACTGGTCATGTATTTAACCATCCCAGAAAAAAACAAATAAACATAAACTCTGTTTACCTCTAGCAAATCATCCAGAAAACTGCAAGCTAAAATGTCTTGAATCTTTATTTTCCCTGCAAGAAAGATTTTAAAGTTAAGTACTGGAAAACTAAAAGCACAACACAAAGAACCTAGTCAATACCATATGCATAGGCAAGAAGCTTTCACCGTGCAATGAAGAATACAGACCACTGTTTCAGTAAAGCAGAAATAGTCTTCGCACCAGAAAGAGATTTTACACTATGAATCTTTCAAGGGGCTTAGCAAGTTATTTGTTATCACAGTCTCACCACTGCTACATGGGCGAAGATGTCTTGATTGCTATTCGCTGTTCCATTTTTCCCCTCCAGAAAATGTGCTACATACAGCAGGTAGACCTGTGTGGCCCAGCTATCAGCCCTAATGTCTCACAGCCCTCGTACACGCAAATCCGGGGTTCAAACACATGTCAGGTTCCGATGTGTCAGAGGAGTAGAGATTGATGCACACTAAAGTGATTAATACAACTAAAACGAGAGGTCACAAAGACAGCTTGGAAAACTAGATGGATCCCCACATCAGTAAACAATCTTTTGTGCCAACAACACGGTGATGTAGATCTAATAAAACTCCCTGAAAAGGATGAGGGGGATCTTTTTCACATACGGGGGGTGTGTATAAGAAGGGTCAAAGCTGTGCTAATATGGATATATGGGGGGGGGGCAGGCAACCAACCAGTGCGAAGAGGATCCAGGAAAAAGAAGAATTTCCGGACCGCTGTACAGACGTAGAAGGAATAAAAGGATTTCTCCAGGCCATCCAGCTGTGGCAGAGTGGGGATCAGCTCCAGTATGTAGTTCTCCAGATCCTGCCACACAACACAGTCCAGTCACAATCCCAGGCATCGATTCTAGCAACGGCATGACCTCAGCCGATGCCACAGTCAACGCAAGAATGACCAGAGATCCAGATATTCTCTGCAATAAGCAATAGCATTCCCAAAATACGTTTCCTAATCCTGACGGTATGTATTAAAACAAAATAACTCGCAGGACAGACAAATTAATTCCATTTTATTTCAAAAGATCAAGAGGTGTGTGATCACCCACCCTTGCACATTATCAGCACCTTTTAAAAGTCATCTCTGGGGTCATTTAGCTAACACTTTTGAGAATCGTTCAGAGGGCGCTAAGGAGGAAAACTGTAAATCACTGAACACTCAGAAACCTGATCTGACAGGATAAGGGAGAGATCGTTTCCACAAGGTGACATCATGGACTGTCTTTCAGGGTGTACCAAGTGAAGGGAGAGCAGTGGGAAATGGTCTCATTCCCTTTTTGTTTCAGCCTTAATAAAACGCAGTTCATTGTAAATTCTAAATGTGTGTTCCTTTGGATAAAAGTGGAAGCCAAACAAAATCACCAATATGTTGCAATACTTGCCGATTCCCTGAGGTACCCCTGTCCGGCCACATCGTACAAACTCAGCCCAATCCTCGTCTGGTGTAGCCACACTGGGGAAAAGGAGGAAACAAATGATGTTTTAAAGAAAACAATAACCATAAACAAATACACCCAACATGAAAAATACACAATCCTGCAAGTATCCCTTTCAGAAGGACTGTTTGTTTTTTTTAATCTGACTCTTAAACAACAGCAAAGCTAAACAGACTCACTGAACTGTAACTATTTTGAAACCATGCATAATACACTAAATAAAGATATTCCAAAGTAGGAATTGAAAGTTTTGAAGCTCCAGGACATAACACAGTGCAAGTATCGGTAAATAATGAAACACTACCACCACCAGCCTCCAGATGGCACACTCCCCAATGTGCCAATTGTTACATCTACAGCACAAAGCACTTTCTGAAGATGAATTACAGTATCGCACTGTTTCAGTCACACATTTGCAGCTGTACAAAAAGCAAACCTTTGCGCATGACGTAGTTGAAGAACTGCATTATTGATATCCTTCCGTATGGGTCACTGTGCAAGAGCTTGGCATAGACTCTGGCTGTGAAGAACTGCCTGTTCAAAAGAGGATAAAAAATCTTGCGTTTACACAGACTACTGCAATTAACAAAGATTTAGAGCAGGTATCTCCAGCTGTTGTCCTGGAAAGCTCCAGTCCGATGGGTTTTATAGGTAAACTAAATAATTTCTAAAGACTAAAGACTGAGAATAAATTGTGTGCTCAATTACAGTTTATTTGTAAAGCGAGTTAATTCAAGAAAAATTGACCTCCAATATGAGAGTACCTTTAATTAAACACATTACTATTTTAATTAATCAAAAACTGAAACGTGTTCCCAGTCCTTAAAAATGTTATTGACAGTGACCTTTATTTCTTCCTAGACTGGGACTCTCCAGGACCAGGGCTGGAGCCTGTTGGTTAAGAGTCTTGGAACAAATACAGTTGTAAAAAATGATTCAAACAAAGTCCTTTTCTTAATATGAATTTGGATTTAAATAAAACAGTGTATTGAAGGTTTTAAAAGTACTATTAATCTGTGTAGGGTTTTAAGTTAGAAAAAATACTCAACAATTTTTAGTTTGTACCCTTTTGTAATATGTGTGACTGTGTGTAACAAGTAATTGTAATTTGCATTGCAAATCAATTATTTAAGATTTTTAAGCAAACTCTATCACATAGATTTTGTAAACCTCAGTTCAAGACATAGGTGTGTTTTCCTTCCCCGTTCCCCAAGGATAAGAACTAGATATTGATGTGGGATATCCAGCAAAATAAACTAACCACCAGGTCTTACAGCCCTGCTGATCCTAAAATATAAGTTGGTTTACTCTTCCCCAAACACCATGTCAAGGGTAAAACCTTTGCATTCACACCTTATTTCGGAACCATGAACCAGCACTGTAGAATCTTTTGAATCTGCAGAGCACCAACTACTTAATTCTGGAAAGTGTGCTACAATGTCGTTCAGTATGTACAAAGAAAACATAGATGTAGGACATATAAATCTGGGTTTTGTTTCCAACTATCTTTTCCTCTTTAACTATTGAGTTTATTAAGCTTATTAAAACCTTGATATAATAATGTACTTCCTAGCTGTAGGATTCCCTTCACAAAACATCATAAGACTTATAAAACCTATTGGAGATTTGTTGTTTCTTGCAAAAATGATGAGATCAGGGTTTCAGATCATGTACACAGTAGACTACATTGTTGTCCGTTCCCACTTACTTGCACTTGGCTCCTGCCTTTTCAGCGACTTTGAGGAAGCCGTTGTAGTTGATCATGGCCTCCTCCCCTATCGAAGGCGGCGTCTGGTGTTTGTCCAGCAAAAACCACAGGTTCTGGGAGAACAAGGGAGGAACAGACTCGCAATTCGTGACTTTATTCAACTCAGCAGTGCTCTGGGAATAGCACACGAGAAGACATATTACACAGAAATGACTTCAAATATACAGAAAACCGTGTAATAAGCTAGGAACAGGTGCACTTTTATTAACTACCTGCAGCTCCTCGTTGTCCAGAAGCTCCCTGCTTTTCCTCTGCAAAAACACAGCTCTGGATTCCTCTCGTAATTTCTGCAGCAAAACCTCATCTTCAGCTGGCAACTGCAGGAAACAGATTAAAACGCAGATCTCTTACCGAGTGCATATCTGAAGTGTTGTAGACCACCAAGTCCGAGTGGTCTTGCGACCACCTAGTCCGAGTCCGGCCCGAGACCGGGTCCGGGAAGAGATTAGCGGGGGTGAGTCCAAGACAAGACCAAGACCTAAATAAATGTGTGTCTAACTCAAGACCAGTTCGCAAATAGCTATATGATGCCATCATCATGAATGTGCCAAACGTTAAGTGTTCTAAACAGCAACAAAACTAGCAATCAGCTCACATATCAAAAATAATTCATTAAATTGAGGTATTGAAAACTTTGCACTCTGCAGTATGTTTTTTTTTCCAGTGTCCTTTTGCAGACGAACTCTTTGTGCTCCACATGCGAACTGAAGTATCGACAATGTAGATGACATTTTCGGCACAATGATGTGTAGTCTACTGTATAGACAACATCCTTAAAAAAACTGGCGCCTTTGATCACGGACAACGGACAATCATTGGTTATTATTGGATGCGTATAATGTTCATCTGGTGGCAGAAATATGTTTTTGAGAGGCAGCAAAATAATAGGCTACAACAGATGTACATGTGTTCTGTGTTTTTTTAACTGGTCTCAACCGGTCTCGGGAAAAAATGAAATTCCATCCTTGTCCAAAACCGTGACAAGGCCAAGTGCAAACGTACCCCAGTCCATGACAAGACCAAGACCACAAAAATATGGTCTTGAGTATTACTGCCCCCCTGCACTTGTAAAATGGCGAACGGGAGGCATGGTATGTCTTTATGCAAAGGGCTGTGGGAGTCTGTAATACACTAACAAATCAAGGTTGTTGTCAAGGCTAATACTCAATGGCTTCTTTCGAGAAATGGCTGGAAGGTTTTTTTTGGATGAATAAACTATTAATAATTAATTCCTTACACTTACAGAGCACTTTTCTGGACACTCTTTACAGGTCATGGGGATCCACTCCATCCCCACCAGTGTGCAGCCCCACCTGGATGATGCTCCAGTACTCTCCCCACACACCAGCTCTCAGTGGGGAAAGTACTGGAGCATCATCCAGTACTCTCCCCACACACCAGCTCTCAGTGGGGAGGAGAGGGATGAAGCAGAGGGATGAAGCCAGTTCAGAGATGGGGATTACTGGGAGGCCATGACTGATAAAGGCCCGGGAGGAAATTTGGCAGGGACACAGGGGTCACACCCCTATTAACTACCAAAAGGGCTAGAAAGCCCAAGAGGTTCCTCTCATTTGTAACCTTTTCTAATGTTCTTTGTCCCTTAAAAATATATATATATAATTTTACTTTACTTTAAAAAAACTGAGAAGGCAACAGCGATGCGGGGATAGCTAAGATATTCAAAAATCATCAAACAAGTAATGGCCTGAAGTTTGCACCACAAGCGAGTGTTATACTCGACACACAAGGAAAGAGCTCAGAGGTTACAGAGCTCTCACAGGTCCATCAGACTGCAAGCAGCCGGCCTGCTGCCCTCGCACTCACCCGGTAGTAAAAGCGCGGTATATTCCTATAGGAGCGATCCCGCCTGCCCCAGCCCCACTCTGTGTAGTGCTTAGTGAACAACGTCATCTCTTCGTCTTTCTTCTCCTGCTCCGTCATTTCATCTGGGCAGAAAACACAAGAGACGAAATGTGAAAAATAAAAAAGTTTTAATGCTACAGTATTTTCACCTGAAATATTACAACTAGTGCCAGAAAGCTTATTTTAATTTTTACATTGGGGATGGATTGACGTTGGCTTGAAGTATTTAAAGACGCTTGTCCGAATAGTTAAAATATTTGTAGTACACATTTCTTAAACAAAGAACTGTAACCTCACAATCTCCTTTAAATGAACAGAGAGTGCCGTACTCATCTCCAGGATCCTGAAGAAACCCTAATAAACATCAATCGGCGGGTTATAGTTTCAATTGCACAGTCATGTTTCTGCGCTTCACAGTCGTGCACTACGACTCGTTGTGAATATAACTTGCATATTAATAACAAAAATTACTATGCAAATTTGAGTTGAGAGACAACGGAGAAGCAAAACTTTATGAATCGATAATCGAAGCAACTTTAAGTTTTATCCAATGGCCTTGAACAGATTTTACACAACATAACATTTACAACGGTAAAAAATACCGTAATTGACAACATAATGTTAATTAGCTAAATAACTTCTGTAAATTTTAACTTTGCGATTGCGATAGTCTAACTTCCTTTAACATTAAAATACAGTTTGATGAAATTGTCAAACAAAATCCATTTATAAGGCATAGAGATATCGCCCAGTGATGGTTTAAAAAGGTCAAACAAAGGCACACTTTATTCACTCACCTTTTTTTGAGGTTGCCAACCTCCTCTTTAGAATTTCTTTCCATTCTATTGCTTTATCTCTCGACATTGAAACTTTAAAATCAATTATAACTAAGCAGAACAACTCGAAATCTCTCAGAACAAGTTCCCGTCTGCTTTCATTTACGATTTGTTGCCAAAGCACTGTAGTTGTTTCTGATTGGTTCACACGGCGTGAAGGGGCGGGGCAATATCGACCTTTCACCCCAGGAGGGCGCGTCACTTGTTTATGACGTCATCCAGCGTGTGTCGGAAAGTGTGCTTTGGTTTAACGTTTTCATTTTTCGTACAGAGTGGTTGAGTAAACGCTGGCTTGTAAAGTAATGTGAGTTACTCTCTCTTTTTTTTTTGCGATTAATCGATGAAACAGCGATCTTCCCGGACCATTAGGGAAGCGTAAATAGCATTCAGTCGCTTGACATTGTTGAACTCTTAAAATCAGAAGATTCGATGTGTTGAAGCTTTCGAGTAACCTGCTGCTGCATCACCACAAACACTTAAGTGATCTGTTTTCAAACGCCTGTTTTATTAAAGATCTTGAATCTGACTGGGGAGTGCGTCTGCTTCTTACACCCAGAAATGAGAGTCACGGATTCTGACTTTCCTGGCTTGGTGCAGTTATAAAGTAATAAAGCCACTTTGCCCTGTTCCCTGTCAAAAGCTGTAGACCGCGGTGTTTTTTGTAGGCTTGAGCCACGCATTCGCAAAGTAACTTTCCCAAGATTAAAGATGGGGTCTCTACTCTTTTCCTACACAAGGACTAATGCTAGAAGTATTTGCACACTCCTCAGTCATTCGAGACCTTTGGTGTTTCTGCACCCGAGTGTGCGATCACCTGTGGACACAGGTGCTCCTCGTGTGCGCTGCTCATCCACACGAGAGAGGAATAAGTTCCCTGGGAGCTACAGGAACTCGGGCACCAAATGGAAAGACTTTCCCAGCAGGGAAAAGCCACCCAGCTCAGTGTTTGAAGCGGGGACAGCAAAGAGAACAGCTGAGCTCCTTAAGCGAAAAGAGGGAAAACACCTTGCTGAGGGGCCAGAGGAGCCCAGGAGGCCGAAAGAAAATGACATTCCTAGCCGCCCGCTCACGGCAGCGGAGTGGAAGAATCGGAAGGAGAGTGCCGGGGCCCCTCAGCGCTTCGAGGTGAAGATGATGGAGAAGATGCTGGCAGCAGGCAGCGCCATTGATGTGGCGCAGTCTCTTCTGGGGTACGTAGCCACGGAAACGGGGACTGTGAGCTATGAACTTCTTCTGAGGTACCTGACTCTATGTGTCCATGGAAACCACCAAGCAGAGGTCTTCGACTTGTATGACATCATGAGGCACAGGTTCAAGACCTTGGATACTGGGGCCTACAGCCTGTTCATTAAAGGCTTCAGCAGGACTGAGCGCTGGCGGGAGTGTCTCCTGCTGCTGGAAAGCACGAAGAAAGTCGTCACCCCCAGCCCACGCAACTACGGCGATGCGATCTGGGGGGCTGTCCAGCATGGCGAGAGCACAACTGCCTGGGAATTATATGAAGAAATGGTTGGAACGGGGCTTAGTCCCAACCAGGAAACATGGCAGACATTGTTCGATAGTGGCTTCTCAGGCCAAGGGAATGAAAGCAAACTTCAGTCCATCCTGCTTCACATGAGAGACAACCAGATCTATCCTGGAGAGGCACTGGCAAAGAGCATCAGGGCCTGGTTTGAAAGGTAGGCCACAGCTGTGGCTCTGAATAAATTAATCCTTTTTCACCGTCTTTGTTGGCAGAGACATTAAAACACATTATATGAATGAAGAGTGAGCTTCTAGTTAGAAATATTGTTAGGTAAAAACACAAGATTCAGTGACACAGTTGTAAGAAAATGGAGGTTTGTGTCAAAAGTCATACTCTGAATCAGAGACGGCTGCTAGATCTTATAATAAGTTAATATTATAATTTTAGCATTGTCATCAATGATGAAGTAAAGTTATTGAAACCTGCAAGACTGTGGATGTTTAAAGGCCAGTGCTGGTCGCCACCTCTCTGTCTGATAATAGAAAATTAACTTCAACTTGCAGTTCCACCTTCATTTGTTAATGGAGTCCAAATTAAGTCATTGCTGTTGTGTCTTGAGCCAGCAGCCTGTTGCAGGTTTCGCTTCGTGGTGCTGCTTTGTTAGGAAATTAAGGCTTAAAGTCTCATAAAGCGTTTTTCTTTTAAGTCTCCCAGGTAACAGGTGGGAAGGAAGTTGGGCCACTGTTGAGACCAGGTAAGGGATTGTGCACATTTATTGTGTCTGGTGAAGTCATCCCTGCTTGTGTTACCAGAGGCCTGCGGTGTTGTAGAAGCTTATTATTCAGTGTCTGTACCTGCGAATATCTCTCTAATGCCCTCAGTGTGGTTTGGAAAGTGTGGCTTCACCATCATTCCCTTGACAGGAAATACAGTAGCACCTCACCCTGTTCTTGCCAGCTGGTGGTTACAATGAGCGGCATGAAGTCACGAGGCCCACCGTGAACGTGGCTAGTCATGGCTGGTTCCATGTGTCACGTGTAGTCAGAACATGCTGCTTCTGGTCAGTCCAGGGGATCAGACAGTAAGATCTTTCTCAAGCACCTCAGTGTTCAAAACCACTCAAGATACTCTAACGGCTACCCAGTGGAAAAAATGTGTAGATAGTGTAGACTGTGAGTGCTTAGTAAGAAAGACACTTTGATACTGCAGTGCCTACGCATTGTGTAGTATCTTTATGACATTGTGGCACAAACCCCAGTGATGAAAGTTAGCTGAGGAGCTCCCAGGTATTTTCGGTGACTCGCGTTTAAGCCTGGCTGCTCGGTGTTAGTGGGCGGTTCGTGCCAGTGCATTCCCTTGGCTTTCCCTGCGTCCACCCATGTCCAGCAGCGTGTGCCGGAGCTGCAGGGCCCGGCTGGAGTCCATCCAGCTGAGCGAGGAGGAGTACAGGCAGCTGAAGGACCGCGTGATGAGCGATGTCATCCAGGGCCGGGACGTCTTCACCAAGACCACGCCACAGGTGAGGGCCGCCCCCCTCATGGTCCTGCTGCACCCTTGGGGTTTTTACCTTTTTTTCATTTTTGTGTCTTGCGGTTGGAAGAACAATTTTGTGTGTGTGTAAAATTGCTGGATCTTTTTCCTAGATTATAGCTCATGTACTTCAGAAACATGATTCATTTCATTCTAGAGAAGAAAGGGCAGCCACAACAGGAAGTAGGTTCATTGTCTCCCATAGTGCGGGGGTTTTTGTGATAAGGGCCAATGTGAGGTCACCTGCGTCTTTTACATCGTCATGGCTTTGCCAGCTGCCATTTTTACTTTTGTGACGCTGTCGTACAGGCAGTTCTTTGCTTGCTGCTAAACTGGGGTGAGTGCTCCTCACCTCTCCCAGACACAGGCTATGAATTAACCTTTATTTTCAAGGAATTTACATTTGTCATTTACATTAATTTGCAAGGAATTTGTCATGCGTGTCAAGAGCCCATAGTTATACAACATATATGACAATAATGCAACCACAGTACCACACAATAATACAAAACAACATTCAACAACATCTCTCAGTCAGAACTCTTCAAGAACCTTAAGATTAATAAACAGATGATTAGCATGTACACAGTCTGAAAACAACAACAACAATAATAATTAGATCCCTACCTGCAACTTTAACACTTGTTTTAACAGTCGAGAGACTTTCTGTCAGTAAGAATTCCATTGTACCAGTACACGGACAGGTTACATATGGCAATAAAGTTCAAGTTCAACTGTTTCTTCCATTTTCAAAATGTCAGTGCTTTCAGGTACAAAGGAATTAGATGCTCTCTTAGTCTTTATACAGAGGACCTGGTACCTCCTCCCAGACGGGAGGAGAGTCTATTCTAAAAAGAGTGGATGTGAGGGGGTCATCTAAAATTTTATGTGCAAGAGTTATAATATGTCTCTCCGTCAGACATGTTATTGAGTCCAAGAATGCGCCGATAAATGTACCACCCGTCCTGGTCACTTTGTTCAACTTATTTCTGTTCTGCAAGAACAAGGTGCCTCCCCAGCTCTGAATACAAAAGGCTGGAATGCTCTGAATAAAACTCTTACAAAAGCTGTTTCTCGTCCCTGGGCGGAGTCCTGCCTTGTGTGCTTTTCTTCTGAGAGACTGTGGGTCACCACACCCCGTAGTATGAAAAAAGTATTTCCGTGCAACTTGTTTTTTTCTTTTATATAGTCACCTGTGTACAGCAGTGAGTAGAAACATTTGTTCTCTGTCTTATTAAGTTTCTACTAACAGAAACTTCTGTTTTTACTTAGTTTAAGTCAGTGTGTTCCGGTCCGTATAAAGTTGTTTAAAAACTGTTCACTTTTGCCTATGTGGCTTGATTCCTCAAGGTGGCGACAGAGTTGCATTGAGAATTCAGAATAACAAGGGGGAAATCCAGGTTCTGTTTCTCGGCTTCAAACCAAACCACACATATTTTGTGTGTGTGTGTGTTTGCCTGCTTTTTCTTCAGGGGGCCAAGCAGAGCTGAAGTCGACATATTTCAAATATTTCAGTTAAAGGGGAAACTCAGGGTGTTGATGCACTGTTGGCGGCCCCTTTGTTAATGATGGTGGTTGTTTTCCAAGTCACTTCTGAGCTTAGCAGTGGCCTTTATTACACTGTGTCCTTCTGGCATGCGATGGGCTGGTGGCTGCTCTTGTGTGTAAAAAGAGTTCGTAGCTGCAGTTGTCCTCCAAATGTCCTGAAGTTCCATTATTGAGAAGTTTGTTTCTAAAGTCCAGCTCTCCACGTGTGCTTTGCAGAATGCTTTCCACCATGCAGCTAAAGCGCTTATGGTGTCTGCAAAGTCTTCATTAGTCTAGAATTATTATTAATCAATTTTCATTAATGTTCAGAACTGCATCACAGAGTTCTCAAAACGTTTGCAAAAGTTCTTCTCTCCCCGAGCTCACCCAGGACACCTCAAGTGCTACTTTTATTTGAAAAATAAACATTTTCACTTCCCCAATGTGTAGGATTCTCTGGGTGGAATGGAAGGGGGATGAGCTGAAGGCTGTGTGGAAAGGAAAGAAAAGAACCACCTGTCCATCTGCACAGGAACAGACTCAAATTAGAAAGCTGTGTCTTTCCGCGGTGTCAGGCAGCTTCTCAGTTTGGTCTCCAGCTCGGGGATTTCCAGCACTCGGCTTTGTTTCTCTTCATACTTCCTCAGAGCAGCGCTTGCGCAAGAAAAGGGCACTTTGCTTTCTCAAGGTGGGTTGGGACAAGGTGTTTGTCATGTAAAGGGAAAGGACCTTTGCCTCCTAATGCAAATTAAATTAAACCAAGAGCACCTGAAAGTATGACAGCATCTGTCTTTAGTTTTTTAATGTCATCTGAGCTTTGTTCTGAGGTATCTCAAAAACAGCAGTTGAGGTATCTCAAAAACAGCAGTGCATTATAAGTGCAGAAAATGCATGCCTTTCCTTATCATAATCACTGATCTCTTTTATTGAAGTGTAAAATGTACAATTTTTCATCTCTCTTCTTATGCATTTTTATTATTTTTTGTAATCATGTTATTTATTAAAATGTGCAGTAAGATGTGAGGGAGCTGACCTTTAGTTTCATTCTTTGTTGTCCGGTGTGCAGTAGAATGCAGTTGGGGTTTTTATCAGAAGCATGCAATTGATGCCTTTTTGTGTTGTGTGAATAAGCTCAGAGCCCTCAGCGCTAGCAGATGTAGTATGCAAGAATGCTATCTGTAGGTAGCAATTTTATAAAAAACGCACTGGCTTAAAGAACAGAAAGAAACATAGCTTTGTAGTTTTTGTACAAAAATGTATTTTGCATGCAACGCACTGTTCGAAGAGTAACAGTTGTTGCTACCGATATTATCACTACGTAGAGTGATGGAGATTTTATCAGTGTGATGGCCTCAAAAAGTTTAGGCACAAAAAAAAAATCTGGGGTCTGGCACCTTTGAAGCAGCCCCAGAGCAAGGGCACTGTGGTGTCTCCGAAGCGCTTGGTTAGCCTGCGTTGTGTGTGCCGAGAGCTTGTATGGACGTTTTTGTGAAACCTTTGGCAGAGCAAGCTGAGTGTTGTGAGGCTCTCTGCCCTCTTCAGCAAAAGCACCAGGCAGTGGTTTCCAGCTGCAGGCGCTCGCAGTGTCGCGCTGCACGCAAGTGAGTCTGGAAAGTCCCTGGTCTGTACATTAACCCTGCACGGCCCCCGGCCTCGGAGAACTGAAACAAGCCTGGAGCAGAGCAGTGGCTAAGGATCGGGCCCTGAGCTGCTGTGTTTAAAATCACACAAGCAAAAGAACTAATCCCTGACCGTAGAAATCTTTTTTTTTTTTGCCCTTCCTATTTTCAGCGTCTGCATTTAGCATTGGGCAGAAAATGTTATCAAAACGAGTTAAAACGAGCTGCCGCAAGGAAAGCATTTCCATAAACTAAACAGGGTGTTTGCATGGGGATTTTTTCAGAGTGCACCTGAAATTTGATCCCGAACTCTTGTTCCTGAAATACACACCTCTTTTTTTTTAAAAAGATAACCATTTCTTGAGAAGTCGTGTGTCAAAGGATGATGTGAGATGTGACGACATTCTTATAAATTAAATTAAACTTGTCATAACTGCCAGTGAAGCTTTGCATGCACATTTCTTGGGAAAGGGTCAGTCAGCATAGAGAGAGTTACAGTTTTCTGCTGTCTTTTTTCACAGTAATTGGCCATGTATACTGCGTGCATGATGGCACATTATTAGAAAGATACAATTTAGCTGGGTTTCTGAATTTGGCTTCCTCTTTTTGCTGCACCAGCAATAAACACTTTTAGCAGGAACAGAATTACAACACTTAGGGGATTTTATTTTGCGTTGTGTTCCTGCTTGCGTCTTTGAGTACTTGTGAATTGTCTACATAAGCTGGCTGTGAAAAATGAATTGAGCAAGCACTTTGTAGTCACGATGTAAAAAAACCCAGACTTGGTATCTTTAACAGAGGTAAAATTCCCTTTCCAAGTCTAGCACAACTGGTGATATAATATCGAAGTCACTCATGGCTTTTAATGTATTGGAATTCTATTCATAACTAAACTCAATGGAAATTAGAGGATCTGAACATGAATCAGAGCATATAAGGCCTTTAAAGTTGCTCAGTATTGTGGTCATTATGCGATTATATCCTTATTTCCGGTGCTGGGCACAATTAAAAGGTCACTTACAGTGTTTCAGTTGTTGGTCCGATATCCCAATAACAAGATTGAGCCGAAATCCCAATAATACGTGGTGGGATTCTCCTGTCTGAGTGCTGGATAGCAAGAGACCCCCAGGGGTCCTCAGGGATGTTACTGCAGGGTGTGCACCTGGCGCTGTGCAGTTCTCCTGAGGCCAGAAAAAAACACTGGTTCTTTCAGTTTTTCAGAATAAAAGGGTGAACCAGTTTGTGAGTCTTGTCAATCTGTATTACTATGGAGTGTGGCTGGAATTACAAATGTGCCTGAAAATGATTTCTGTCTGTGTGCTCAAGAAATATGTCAACTATGGGGAAAACCCTTGTTCCTAGGACACCTTTGCCTTAAATGTGCACTTTTAGTTGTCATTAGCTCCTCTACAATCAGTTTGGATGGCTCATTTGCAGAATTGATTGTTATTTATTTTCTGTAAACCATAGCAAAGCCCCCAAACTGTTTAGAATAAACCATAAACCTTCAAATGCCTCTGTTTCAGTTTCCTTCAGGTTTAGTGCACAGACAGCCCGTGGGGCAAAGGCCCTCTTTCAACAGTGTCTTCCCACAATCACACTGGAGATCTCTTGGGCAAGGGAATGGCATGTGAAGTATTTTGAAGCGCGTGAGCAGGGCTGTGTTGTCACATGGCCTGTACACAACAGGGAGGTTTGTGTGGAGACAGTCACAAAGGGAACATGCTGTTCTGGACACGCCTGTCCTGAAACACGAACACTGTGGAAAAGCACAGAGCACCGGTGCTGGGATTCCCCTGAGTCGCCACCCCTACTGTACCTCCGCTCTCCTGATCGGCCACTGAACAATGGAAAGCAAAACTGCTAAAGATAACAAATCTGCAGGGAGGATGTATTTTCCTTTTATTGCTGACTTACAGCACAGTAAACCTGTATAGCTACGGAATGAAAAAAAAGAATGATCCTTTAACGACTAAAGCTCGCTGCACTGCATGGTGGTATATTTAGAATGAGGAGAAAGCAATGTCCGATGCATTTTTGGAGATGGTCATTTTGTTGTAGAAATAAAAGGAGAGATCTTGTTTGTTAGCATATTTACTTGATGAGCTGGCACAGGAATACCCTTTCTCTGAAGACTTAGAAAACCTCATGAAACTAACCAGTAAATCTTGAAAAAAAGGAATTTCCTTTCTGTGGCAAGTTGGGGCAGGATTCATGCTGTTCTCATGTCCATACTGGTGGATGAAAGTTACTCAATCTCTCTGCTTACTGACAAGCCTGAGTCTGCAGGTTCGCATCACAGAGACAGTGGTCTGTGTGACGCTTTGGGTTACTGTTGCAAATTGCTGTCCTGCAGTTTCACCTTGCGCTCCTATTAGTTTACGCTGTGTCTAGAGCAGATCAAACTGAACGATTGGAGAGGTTTCTCTTCTCCAGCAGGGAGACTGTATCTGAGGCCTCTCTTTTGACTTCAACATTTCCGAGCTGTGTTTCTGCAGGGCTCTACTGTATATGCACTGTCAAGATGTGTTGAACCTTTTTTTTCTTAACTGTCCGCTTAAATTTAGGCTCATAAGAATGTTCGGATGCTATGTTTTTTTCTGTGTGAAACTCCCTTTTTGTCCCTCGAGGAAATTCCCTGCGTTTTTGGCGTTTATAGACTTCCCCCTTCCTGTTAACAGCTTGCCCTGCTGCTTATCTGGCCGAAAGCAGCTGCCTGCTCTGGGGTCCTGAAAACAAGATCTGGTTTCTGCGATTTACAGTGTTTCAACCGAAAATCTGCTGTAAACAGTGTATTGCAAAAAATGCACGTATTGTCTTAAAAGTTTCATTTACAGTACTTTTTGCAGAAATATAGAATTTTTTATAAGGTTTCAGTGATTAGAAAATCATTTTATTTTCCAGACAAGCTGGACAAAAGTCCTTCTTCAGCTGTTTTTTTGCCTTTTTAAAGTGATAGTTCTCTTAATAGTTTAGTTTCTTTTATTTGTACATAGCTCTTCATCCTACTTTTAAAGCTATAGATTTGCAACAGATGTAGCATGCTTTATTTTCATTAAAATTGCATTGTTATGAATTATTTATCTCTCTTCATCAATGCAAGGCCGGTCGAGTATCGCAAGGTAACTGCAGAGTGTGAGCTGGCATTAGTGTGCCTTAGAATCCCCTTGTGTCCTAAAGCCCTTTGATTTTGTTACCTTTTCAACACCTGTAATTCAGCTTCACCTCAAAAGGGGAAGAAAAGTGAGTTTTGTGAATCGGCATCCACAGGCTTTGTGTGTGGAAAAGAGAAGTGAGATTTCATCCTGGGTGGCGTTTGTTAGATATTATGTTAAAGTTATTAATAAGATCTTTCTGGCCAGAAAACAGCAGATGTGGTCACAGCAGCTCTCCTGCAATGAATACTGCAGATTATGGTGCAGCCAGAGGTGACAGTCTGGCCATCAGATCCACAAACCCAGGTCCCATTTCTGTCTGGTTCTTCTTTCGTGATGAAACAGCATGGTTCGTGCTCAGTGCTGAGGGGCTGCCAGGAGGATACAAACTAAATCCTTTTCTAACCCAAGAACTTCAGCAGCTTCCATAGTTTCTTTGTCACCACATCAGAGTACATTCTCTTAAAATGGCCTAAATTCCTGTAATCCCATTGAACCAAAGGCAAAACCATTTCTGGAAATGGTTGCACATGCAAATCCTCTATTTTTCATATGAATAAAAGGTTGCTCAGAACATGGTTATAGTTTCAGTGTAGTGTCAGTACTTTAGTAGGCGCAGCACATGTAGATCGTGTTATCGTTTTGTTGTTGTAACTCTGCGATTTAATCATCTTTATTTGAGTCAATGCGCTCAATAGATATGTCCATATATCCTGGATTTGTCCCCAGGTATCACACTGAAGCAAGAGTGTTTTTCCCCAGTGTTTTTTAAAGTGTAGGCTGCTGTAACAAAGCAGAGCGTTGCTCAGAAATGGGTTTTTGTCTTAAGTACAAAGCATTTGTCTTTATGAACCCGACGTACCATCAGCGACGGTGGTGCGCTGAAGGATCGTGTCTGACGCCAGGCAGCAGGCAGCAGGTGGGATAGCCGCTGTCTCTGGCTGAGTGAAGGGCAGGACTCAAACACAGTAAAAACGCTCTTTCCCATGGCAGCACAATGCCACTGACCCATGGGATCTCCTGTTGCAGGAGCTGGAGAGCTTCATGAGCTTCGTGAAGAAGAGGCCTCCATTCGATGTGGTGATCGACGGGCTCAACGTTGCTAACACCTCCAGCAAAGGGAATCAGGCCAAAACGGTGAGTTTCTGAACCTCCTCTCTTATTTTGTTTTCTTCCTCTCCGATTTATGCCCTTTGGGGGCAAAATAGTGTTTAGAAAATTGGGCTTTGCTGCTTTCAGCGTAAGGTGTTGTGGCTCACTGTGTACACAGTGAGCTGTATAAAACAGGTTATACTTTTACATCTAAAAGTTTACATCTACCTGTAGAAAGCATTATTTCTCTTTTCCTGTTACGTTATTTCAATATAGTGTGATTGGGGAATCAACTAATTTGCACATCGTGATGAAATCGGAAGCAAGCCACAGGATATCAGAGCACACTGCATCCTGCAGTAGACAAGGGAAGATAGCACATCAGTGCAGCAGAGCAGTTTTTCAGGCAGCCAGGAGGTGGAAGCCAGTGGTTTTCTCTTTTCACAGGCCAGGAAGAGCACTTCAGCAGTGCCCACAGGACCTGAGTGACTGTGCCGTTACACAACCACAGTCGCAGTTCTCGGGAAGCTGTAAGGCCGTAGGCGCTCGCAGTGTGTGATGATGTATTCGAAGAGATTTGAATAGGTCTTTTCAGTGTGAAATAATCCCTTTTATTTGGGTAAACAATACGCAACAATAGGACTGGCTTGTAGAAATAGGAATTATAATGTAACTCCTGATGTGGCGATGTGGAGAGAGCTGGAGAGGTGGATGATGACAGCTGGAGACAGAAGAGCATGACTCTGAGGGAGCTGTTCCCTTCATCTACACATTACATATTGTGGGAATGTGAGAGTTTTATTCTTTCTGGTACTTTTCCCCCTACTGGAAAGCAGAATTGTCTCAACAGGCTTCTAATTCCACTTCACGTGTTTCAATTCAAAGTCAGCAGCAGTGAGCAGCTGGTTCAGCCCCACAAGGGGCTCCTCGGCGTGGCACGGCTTGCTTTCGCTGACGAAGTGCGAGCTCGTGTTCCCGGTTAAAACATGCACGAGAGGGCAGAGGTGTAATGATCATTTTAGTCCGTTTTACCAGACAGGCTTTAGAGTGGAACTGGTAGCCAGAGAGCCGAGCTGTAACACTGCCTGATGGAGAGTTGAGCTGTCAGAAAGAGCTGTAAAACTGGAAGAGAGCCGAGTAAGCCCAGAAGTGGAAGTCAGAGTGGCTCAGCTTCCTGTTGGGCCTTTCACCAGAAATTGAGCCGCGTAGTTGAGCCATCTACCCTTCCTGACGCACATAAAAACAGAAACAGGGTTGCAAAAGAAAGGAGGCTCTGGTGCTGACTGATCCAAGGGCCCCGTCCTCCTGTGTTCTGGAATAAACACTCCAGCGCTGTGGGTGGCTTGCTAGTTCCGGATCCTGGCATCCTGAAGAAGCTGAAGCCGAAGCCAGTGGTATCGTCTCCTTGTCAGTGAGCTCACTGAAGCTGGAACTGATGTCACTGACGGAAGCAGGACTCATGTCTGGAGATGTTTCTCTGGGACACCAGCCAGGTGGCGACAGGGACCGGCTGCTGTCACCGCAGATGCGTTGCCCGCCCCCAACCCCCCCCAGCCTTTAATATGTTGGGTTTTTTTTAGTTTTGATCTTGATTTTGTTTGGGTTTTTCTGCCATGTTTGCTACCTCGCCTGCTTGAAAACCCGGCTGCGGGTCCTTGCGAGCCGCCTGGTCTTCCCTGCTTCTCAGCTAGCGTGCCGTACGTCAGTGTGACTCAGCTCTTTGGTCTTGGCCTGAAGGAGGGCACAGCCTTGGTTTAAATGAACCGTCACCGTGACAACCATTCCTCACTTCCCTGTGTGTGAGGACCAGCGGCAGAGCAGAATCTGTGCAGAAACTCCAGTGACTCACTTTCCTGCCCCGAGTGGCGAATACAGACAGACGCGCCGACCTCATTTTCCCACATTTACGTAACTGACATTAGGCCAGCAGGGTTGTACCCCGTCACCTGAGAGACGTGCCGGTTTGAAGCGCACTTGGTGTTTTTTTTCCCCAACGCTTTCAGAAAGGGTTCGCATCCACAGGTCTGAGGGGTCGTCGAATGTGTGGTCGGGAGGCTGCGAAGTGCCCATCACTTCATGTGTTTGTGGCAGAGCGAAGCGTTTTGACAGCAGGTCGCTGTGCATCCTTCAGGCCACGGGAGGCTCTCTTCAGCCCGGATAAAGCTTCTCTGCTTTGCTTGTGAGCTGCGTGTGATGCCATGGCCGCCGCTAGGGGGCGCTGCACCGGCCTGCAGCAGAGGCCGTGGGGGTTGGATCCTGTGGGAGGGGAGGGCACCGTCTCTTCCCCCTCCTGCTGAGAGCTGAACTCTTCACACTTTCCGTCCCCCAGAGGTCAGGACCCCACAGCTCGTGGGGGGGGGGGATTCTGTGTGCTCAAAGATCCCGCAGAGATCCCTACAGGTACGCAAGCACCTGCTCTTCTACACATCAGACTGCAACCCAGCGGCCGCTCCACGGTGATGGGGTGCAGCTCATTGGGAGACGTAAATTCCAGGTCCAGTCTTCACTTTTAATGTTGTTCAAAGAATTTTCAGCGGCTGGCTTCTGATGAGGAATAGCAGGGCCCCTTCACTGCATCACACTGCCATCGTCTGTACTGGCAGTGTTCATCTTGAAAGTGTACCGGAATCATATCTGGTCTGAAAACTGAGCCTTCGGTTTGTCTTTTTTTACAAACTCTCCTTAATCACATTATGTGTGATCTTCTATGGTTAAAAACATTCAGAAAAGCATTATGCTGGGTGGAAACCGGCCTCCTCAGACAGACTAAGCAGTCTGGGGCTATATAAATAATACCAGGAAATTATTTTCTATTTTAAGAATACTGGTATGATGTTGCAATTGTGGGATCTTTGTCCAAAGCAGAGCATATTTTTCTATCCACAGGCTTCACTTAATAGTAACTTCGTCTTAAAGGAATACACATTATAAATAATACAGTAATAAATATTTCCTGTAAGTAATACTGTAAATGCAGTATATGTTCTGCAGTGAAAAAAGAAGCACCAAATCAGATTTATCCGAAACTGTGAAGGCCTCAGTTACGGCTGGTGATTGGAAACTGAACTTTTGTTCATAATCCTTTCCACTAAACTGCTTCACTTTTCAAAAGTAATAAAAGACAGACAAGGTTCTAAGCATTCTGGGGAAATAGGTAAACAGTACTGTAAACCTGGAAGGACAATTCCTGGCAGAGGATCTTGTTTCTTTGTTAAAGTCAGACTTTCTCATGAATAAGTCTAATACAGTATGTGCTTATTAATGCAGCATTTCCTACCACCTATATGACATTAAGCTCATTAATAAGACATTTCTTTTTCATAACTGCTCTCCGGTGTGACTGGAAAAGCACACCGCCAGTTGGCAAAGGAATTTTTGATGTAACAAGTGCATTTTCCATCTGACCTCAGCCCCTGATGGAATCTTCTTCATGTGAGCTGGGTCAGGGGAGGCAGGCAAGGTGGGAGGCATCTCAATGAGCCCTTTGGAGGCTTCCTTGAAGAGCAGAGAGCTGAGTACCGTCACCACCACAGTTTCCTGTGGGGGAAGGTTGTTTATTTTTAGATTGTTCTACAGATGCCGGGCAAGACAAACTTCACCGTGCAGAAGCTCACTCTAGATCTCCTCATTCTCATCGACGCTGCCTCAGTCGAGGCGTCTTCTAGGACGCCTTCTAGAACGTCTTGCTGGTCACCCTGAGACTCCTTGTCCATGGAATGTGACCTGGCTGTGAAGACCTGCATGTGATTTTGCAAACCAGGAGAGTAAACAGTTAAAATGCGTATCTCCGTGTATCCGTGTAAACGTTTTTTTATCTGTTTCTTCCCCTCATTCTTCAAACTAATGCTAGCAGATTTTCTTCTCTGAAGAAATAATAATAATAATAATAATAATAATAAGTGTAGTTCTGGGCTTACTGTTTTTTTTACTGCTTTTTCTAGAAAACCTCTGGTCTCTCCTTACTCGTCACTCTTTTTACAAAAGATCGTCTTCGGGTGCTGTGCATTCTCCAGCACACAGCATGCATGCAGAAAAAATTGAATGTGAGCATTATCTCAAACTGTTTTGCAGTGTCCACTTACAGCAGACCCTGTAGCCTGTAGTTAAACCAGCTGCTTCCTTATTTTGCTCCAGACAACCCACACCTCTGCAGGCTAATGCGCTCGATGGCAATGGAGTCACTTTAAATAGAATCAAGGTCCAGGAAACAACTTTTTCAAAATCTTTTCTCACATGAATACAGTTTCTTGTTACAGGAAAAGCACTTCTGTGGGATTCTCTTTCTTGAGCAAATAGGAATGAATAGGAATTAATTTCTGTAGCAGTTCATATGTAGCAGGATGGAACATCCTCATCCTGTTTCCCCTCTGGTGCTGAAGCTCAGTGTTTTCTGTCTTAATCAAGCATCTCACAGGCCTGTGTCTCTTCTCTACACTCTCATAACTGCCTCGGTTTAAAAGATGTAGAGAAACGGGGAAAAACCCTTTACTTTTTACCGTCACATTTGATTAATTTTTAAAGCAATGTCAGCTCACCGAAAAGGTGTGCAACACTGACAGCACTAATGCAGGTATCTCCAGCTTCCGTGGTTCCAAGGCATTTCTGGACATTTTTTTTATCCAGTAAAAATTTCCTTGAAAGCACAATTTACTGTAATGGGACCAAAAAAATAAAATGTTTTTTTTTCCTCCTAATCTTAGTCTGATTGGCTTGGAGCTTCACAGTCATAGTCAGACTTAGGTGTTAATTTTTTGCTGGTTAAAAACAATTGTGTATGGTGGAAAAAGTTGTACTCTGTAGAGAGGAAACACTGAGGGGTTTCAGTCTGACTTACAGTATATTATCCCTTTAGCATTTTCATCCTCGCTCTGGCAAATTTTAACAGTAAGCAAGGTGTTTACAGAAAAACTTCAGAACCAGTAATGCTGAGAAACAGGAGCGGTCAAGTAGCTTTGTCAGCATTTTGCGGGTCCAAGCCGAAAGCTGCCATTTTGGAAAGAGCCCAGTAACTCAGTGGATATACTCTTTACTGCACCAGTGCCTCT